AAACTCAGGCTGACACCAGAATCCAGACTAGGTTTCAAAAATTCGAAACTCCTCCAACTCGCACCCTCCCACAAGCCCATCTAGTCCCCTCCCTTCTGTCTGGGTTGGCTGGGTTTCTCAGCACCCCCAGACGCGGAGACTGTCCCGCGCAAATCAAAACGCAGACAAGGAAACAAGATTCCCACCCACCTCCGCTGGGAGGGACCCTCCTGTTTCCTCGCCACGCCCCCCTCACTCCCCTTTCCCCTTTCTCTTTTTAGTTATTTGTTTAGAACTTTTTAGCTGAGCATTTCTTTCTAGAATACTGATTGGCACCAAAGTAACTGAAACCATATTTACCTTTCTCATCTACAAGTAATGAGTGGCAGTGAGACAGCAAGGGGGATAATTGTTAGGTTGGACGTTTGTTAAAAGGATGGATGGGATGGTGGGTGGACAAAGGCATGAATGAATTCACATTAAAAGGGAAAACAAATGATTTCAGACCAACAGATGTTCTGTTACATAGTACAAAGGAGAGAAGGATCGTTGCCCCCCCATTTTAATCTACCTAGTCAAATAATGTGAATCGTTGATGCTACAAGTGAATGTTTGGGGTCTGATTATCCAGGTGAATCTTAAACACAGGCTATATAACCTGCTGTATAGCTCCTGTCAGACTGCCCTCTGGTTTGTGCCGAGTAAATAAATGACCAGGTCTGTTCAATTGGTAGCCTTCTAACTTGGGTGTTGGGCACCATTTGACTGCATTCTAGAAATATTCTTCAACCTAATCGCCCAGTTCACTGTTTTAAATTGAGTTGATGTACTCTATAGTTCAGCTCATCTACTGAGTGTTCTTTCTTTCTTTTATTGGTTAATCCTCCCCCGTGGATATTTTTCCATTGATTTTTAAATTATTATTTATTATTATTATTTTTTTAGCAAGTGGAAGGGAGGGAGGGAAGGAGAAAGAGAGAGGGAAAAACAAGGATCAGTTGCCTCCCATATGGGCCCCAACTGGTATTCAAACCCGCAACCTAGGTATGACTGGACATCGAACCCGCAACCTTTTGGTGTCCTGATGATACTCCAATCAACTGAGCAACCCTGCCAGGGCCAAAGAACCTGTTTTAAACGGTAATCTCTTATCAGTGAAGATAATGTTAGCTGCTGTAACAGGAAAAAAATTTCAATGCAAACTCAGTGATTTAGCACATGGAAGTCCACTTCTCATTCCTATGAAGTGCAGTGGGAGGCAGCAGTGCCCTGCACAGTTCGGGCCCTAATTTGACAAAGTTGACATAGGATCTTGTCTCCTTCATCTTGTAACTTCCAACATCACCCTGGGCACTGAAACCTGGCTGGCAGAACGAGAAAGAGAGAGAGTGGAGGTACTTAAAGGCCACACCTGGCCAGAAGTGGGGTACACACTTGCGGTCACTTTCCACTGGCTGAAGCTCAGTCAATGGTCTCATCTAACCTCAGGGGAGCCTGGGGAAGGTTCTGGCTCATCTCTCTTTGGTGATATTGATTTCCCTCAAATGTTTAATGATCCTTGTGCAAATTCACTTTTATGGTTGACATTCTTTGCACAGTCCACTGAGGGGGAAGAGGCAAGAGTTGCAC